CCCCAGTGCACACCCCAGTGCACACATACACTGCCAGTACACCCCCAATGCATATACTCTCGGTGCACTCCCGTCGGTGCACACACACAAACCCAATGCACACATACGCTGCCAACACACACAACCCAGTGCAGACAGCCAGCACTGCCAATACAGGGTACACACACACACACACACACACACACACACCCAGTGCACACACCGGCACCGCCAGTTTGGTGCACTCCCGTGTCCACAGCCGTGCTCACAGGCTCTGCAAGCACATGCCCTCCACATTGACGTCACACACACAGACCCGGTGTGCACCAGCATGCACACACCACCAGGTACCTACATTCACACACGTGTGTGTACACACCCCCGCCCATACGCACCCTCTGATGTCACGTGTGTGCACGCACAGACACACAGACGTGTCCACGCTAAGCCTCCTCTTGCTCTCACTTGCTGTTTCGCGCTCAGCCCCGGGGGGGATCAGATTTGGGGCCAGACCCCTGGGCCCCTGGCTGGCTGAGGATGGCTGGGGGCTGCTTCGAGTGAAGTGGAAACCTCCCGTGCCCAGACTGCCTCTTAACTGGACCCCTCACCTCAAGTTGGGTGGAGCTTGGGCAGGGTCTGGAGGCCAGTCCTGGGAGGAGGGAGTGGGGTGTTGGGGGAGGGCCAGGGGAGGACCCACCTGTTGGTGAAGTTCAGGCGCTGTTTCTCCTGGCCCTTCTGTTCCAGTGGGGGGTCTCGATTTCATCACTGCTCCCTGGCCAGCACCCCCCCCCCCATGCCCTGGGTGCTCTGGCTGTGGCTCCTGTGATCCTGAGGCTTCCCTGGGCTCTGGCTTGTGGCCGTTCCTCCCTCTCGCACCTCTGTGGCTGGCCCAGGCCAGGGCCATTGCTCAGTCCTGGGTCACGCTCTCTCCCAGACTCCTCAGAAAGAAAAATGGTTCCTTTAAGTGTTGGCCTTGGCATTCCTGCCAGGGACTCCTCTTCAGAGCCATGGAGGAGGATGGGGTGTGGGATGAGTGACCCCAGGGGGTGGGGGAGGGGGCTCTAGTGTCCTCACCAGAGACCGGTGTCACCTTCCTGCTGGTGGAAACACCAAGAGACTTTTCCTCAGAGGGGCGTGTCCCGCCCAGTTTTCCGTTTGCTCTGCTGCTCTGCGATGTACCCTCTCGCCCCCCTCCCCACCTCAGTAAAGTGTGCTATCCTCTGCCTGTGTCCTGTGCTTTGGGGAGCGGAGGGCTGGGCACTGTTCGTGGGGTGACCCGGAAAGTTGCCGCTCACTCGGTGAAGACATGACTGAGAGTTCAGAGGAGACAGGAGACCGGAGCCAGCGGAGACCCCTAGAAACAGAAGCCCCTGAGGGCGTCCTGGAGGTACCGGAAGCCGGCAGCCGACCATTCTCGCGGAGGGTGGCGTAAGCGAGTCTCGATGTGGTTAATTTATTACTTGAGAGAAGCCTTTAAAAATACAAAAAGCAAACTTCTCCCACCTCTGTTGAAAGTTAGGTAAAATTAGAAGGGAAGCCCCCCTCCTCCTCCCATTCTAGGGTGGCATCTGAAGGAGGAACTGAAAGCATAGCCTGGCCTCAAGGTCTCTGCCCCACCACTTCTGTGTGGCTGCACCTTGCTACCCAGTCTCCTCATCTCTAGAACATTTCGAGTCTAGCACGTAGCCACGTCAACACACCATGAAGGGTCCGACTGCACACTATGGTGCAGATGTCTCCATCTGCCACCGGGTTCTTTCCACTCAACAGTCCACCAAGGCCATCTTTCCAGGCCTGTACAGTTGGGCTGGCTCTTTGCTTTCAATGGCTGCTAAGTTTTCCCCTGAATGAATGAACCGTGAGTCCGCTGGCTGTGCCTTATCGGTGGGCATAGGGTTTGTTCTGTGTGTATTTTCTTCAGCAACGCTGAAGTGGCCCCCTCTGTCCTCCCGTCTTAATGGGCTCAAGTGATTATTTGTGTGGGAGTGCTTGGAGAGGTGGCTGAGTAGCTCCCCCAAGTGAATATCACCTTGAAAATGAGATCTACCATAGCAGTTGCCGTGGAGTGGACCCCCTGACTCATGGAGACCCCTGTGTGTCAGAGTGGGACTTTCAATGCTGAGTTTTCAGAAGTAGATCAGAGCTCTAGCCCCCTCTAAAAAGGGCCATGTCAATTTACATTCCCGTAGATTCCTTACGCCTGCACCAGCAGTGGATCTACCAACTTTAGGAAGGTTTGCCAGTCTGTAGACAAAAGGTAAACCCTTGCTCTGATGTCCTTTTAGGTCAAGCATCCCGCTCAGTGTTAATCAGCCATCTGGTTCTTCTGTAACTGTCTGGCCACACCCTTCGCCCATTCTCCTGTTGCGGTGTCTGTCTTTTTCTTATTGCTTTGTAAGACTTTTGTGTTAGAGACTTGGAGCTTTCCCGTGTTACGGGTTTGGCAAATATTTTCGTGTAGTCTGTTGCTGTGTCTTTGTTTACAGTGTCCATATATGTTCTAAAGTTTGATGTGGTTGAATGTGTCTGGTTGTTGTTTTATGGTTTCTGGGTTTCCTATCTTAGGAGAAACTCCTCTAGTTTTATATTATGAAGATATTCTCTATTCTAAAATTTTTATAGCGCTGGGTCACTACTTTCAGATACTCAACCCATCTGGAGTTTATGATGTGGTAGGAGGTAGAGATTTCTTCTAAGTCGATGGCCAGTATTCTCAATGCCATTTATTAAATAACCCATCCTTCCTCCATTGATTTAAAATGCCTCCTTTATAATACAACATATTCCCATAGATATCTGGGTGCTTCTGCCTGCCCCTCACTGGAGATCCATTGTTCAGTTCTATTACCAGGTCAGTACCATACTGTTTTGATTATGACAGCTTTATAGCATGTTCAATAACTGGTAAGGCAAGTACACTCTCACCACTCTTCTTTTTAAAACGTAGTTGCTACTTGCTACAATGTATTTTATGGATGAATTTTGGAATCAATGTGTCCAGTTCCAGAATAACACTCTTAGAATTTTGATTGCAAGTTCACTTACTGGGGTGTGAAGTTGGGGAGGATTGATGTCTTTACTCTTTGGCGTTCTCCCACTCCCCGCCGTTTTATTCAGCCCCCTGAGTAACGTCCCTCAGTACAGTGTTGTAGTTCTCTTCGCACAGGTCTCGCATAGTCCTTGGTGTATTCTAGGCGATTCCCTCCTTTTCCTTAATTCGGACTGGTCCTTTCTGGCACGGTGAGCTAATAGTTTTTATTTCTTGGTGACATTCTTTCCACGACCATCCCCTCCCTCTCCCTTTCTCCCATTTAGGCAGGTGGACCAGAGTGCATGTTTCCTCAGGGAGGGTTGAGAGGGCCAGCTTCCCACGACGCCCTCCCATCCCTGGCTTTGTGTTTCCAAAAGCCTAAACTCATTGTTACAGGCTCTGAGGCAAACATCAACAGAGACAGCATTGGGAGCTGGAACCCTTCAAAACATTTCAAGATAAGGAGTGGGAGGAAGGGAGAGACTTCCTTCAGATTAAGGAGAGAAAATTCCAAGGATCACAGCAACCAGTCTGCAGCCAGTTGTGGGTCTGGCGCAGGACCGGGCACTTTGTTCTGTTGTGCATGGGGTCTCCATGCGGTGGGGGCTGACTCCACGGCAGCTAACCGTCACCACCCCTGCATGGGAGGAGG